TAGTGAGATTTCTATCCCCCCTCCTTCCTGTTGCAAGTCTAGTTGGATAGACCCGTTACAAATCTGGTGGTCCTTACAGGGGAGGGATTTCAGCAGTGTTTGCGCCTCTCCATTTTCCAAATTTCCATACTTGCTCCAAAACCTCGCGTAGACGGACGTAGCGCTCGTACGCGCACTTAGAAGAACTTTTATTGGATTACAACCCAAGTTACTATAGTACACGCAAGATGTCTCACACCTCTCATGCCGTTCCCGCCGCTGGCCCCGCTGCCAACCCCATCCCCACAATCCACACTACTACAGTCAGCCGTATGCCCGGCGCCCACTCCAGGGAAGCCCCCAGGTTCAAAGGAACCAAGCTGAAGAAGTTTCTCCACGATTTTGAACTTCAAGCCAACTCCGCGAATCTTACCAACCCGCAAAAAATGCGACTATATTGTCTCCTACTGCACAGAGAAGGAGGCAAAGTTTATTCGCACTCTTGACAGCCTCCAGAACAAAGATTGGGATGCGTTGAAGCAAGATCTCTTCAACTTTTACCCCGCTGAACAAGAAGACCGCGTTTACCGCCCCAAGGATCTCAGAAAATTCATAGAAAAGAAGCGCAAGCTCAGGAACCGTAAAGACTTTGACGATTACCGCAGACAGTTCCAGGTTATCGCCAAATCGCTTGAGCAAAGGCACGCACTCAATGCCGGTGACAAGGACGATTATTTCTATCGAGAGATCAAGTCCCCCGCGTTCCGCAAAAGAGTCAAGCATGAATTGAAGGCCCACAACCGTTGGACCGATCTAACCCGCGCTCCCCCTATGGATCATGTCGTCACTACGGCCAAGGAGCTCTTGCAGCACGACCTGTACCATGCAGACGACTCTGACGGCTACTCAGACTCTGCAAGCGAATATTCCCCAGAGAGTTCCCCAGAAGACAGCGATTATTCCGAAGACAACGATTCAGATAATGAGGCAACTGAGGCTGAGCCAGAACCTCCAACCTCGTCGCGTCGGAAACTAGCTAAGCCACCCAGCAAGAAGAAAACCAAGTTCAGAACCGTTGAACCCGGCGAAGACACTAAGGCCGTCGAGGCCAAAGTGGAAGTACCCCAGAATCCGAACTTCAAGTCCAACATGGAAGACCTTGAAGACCGTATGAACAGGCTAACTATTGCAATGGCCCGCCTCACAGACAGGACTCGCAACACTCGGCCCCCTCACGATCGCTGCTTCATGTGCGACGGACTCGGTCATCAAGCCAAGGATTGTGCTGAGACTAAAGCTTTCATCGCTGCCGGAGTACTCAGACTGGATGCATCTAACAGACTGATCATGGCTGACGGTTCTTATTTACCACGCAACCCCAATGGAGGGGGGGGCAGCCCGCTTAATCCGTGAAAGAGCTAACATGCGTACTAGTGCTGCCACTCTAGAATGGATGCGCGACTACGAGCAAGCCCATCAAGAGTTCGCTGTCTTAGGCGACGGCGAGTTTGAAGTCCTGCCCGCGGAAGCGCACCCAGCCGAGAGAACTGACGCAGATAAGACTAAGCCAACTAGAGCCAAGCCGTACGATCGGGCCCCTAGTCCAGGGCCACCACTTCCCGTTAGGCGGACCATTCCATCCGAGGAATTGGGGACGCCACCCAACCGCGCATACGTTGAACTTCCTCAACCACCCGTTATCCTCAAACGGCCCCAGCCACAAGACGTTCCTATGGTCAGCGCTGAACCCACACCCCAAGACAAAGGGAAGCAGAGGGCGTATCCACGCCAGCCACCCGTCAATACAGCCGGCCCCTCGGGAACGAGTGGCCCACGAGCTAAGGTCACCTTTGAAGAAGGACCTGCCCCTAATGCAAAGGCGCCACCTGCCAGAAGAACCATTCCCGCTTACAAGTTCGCGTCCGAGCTGCAGGATAAGTTAAACACCGAATCTGCATTCGAGCAACTCATGGCACAGAATGTAACGCTGCCGCTGGGCACCGTCTTAGGATCCTCTTTCGAGCTCAACAAGCGCATGCAGACGGCGACAAAGGTTCAGAGGATCCCATTGAATAAGAAGTCCAGTACTGCGAGTCTGCAGTACACCGCACCCGTCAACTACGACTCAGACGATAGCCAGCCCATCTACGAAGTCCATAACTTAGAAGCTGGTGTAGATAGTGTACTAATGCCAGTAGAGGACGAGCCAGCCCCCAGCGAGACAGTTTACGATGTCTTTGACCTAGATTCGTATTTCAACGCTGAGGATGAACCTGAGGATGATCACAAAGACCCCGATTTGGATCTGCGCCTCAACAAAAACGAGGATAATTCTGAGAAACCTTTTGAAACCTTTGACCTTAAAGCATGTCTCGAGGACGAGGACCTCTTCAACTTGGCCCTCCAAGTCATGGATATCTATGACCATTTTGACCACGAGGATTCCCGTCAAGTGGCGCATAGCACCCCCGAACCAGTTCTGTGCCCCGATGCCGAGAAATTCAACAAGACCCTGCTTGAGAGGCGCGATTTGGACTCTCATTCCAGCAATAACACTCCCTGTTCACTTGACGAAGATTACGATCCTGATTGGGAGGAGTATCTCCGAAAGACTAAAAACCGGCAGCCACCCAGGATTATCGAGACTCAAGTAGACGATCCTTCGCCACTCACGCAAGATCCTAGCTCTAGCCAGGTGGTATTCGAGAGCTTTGGCCTTGAGTCCCAAGGCGATGACAGTAGTAGCACTTGGTCCATCGGCACGGATGACCAAGCTGAGAATTACTATCGGCAGCTCTTGGAATCTGAGCACATACGCGAATTTGGGCGCCCTTATCTTGGCGCCAGTACTACGTCTAAGAAACCTTCATTTTTGGCTATGGTAACCGCGAAGATTCAAGGACAGATTAGCAACCGTCCTTGCACTATGCTAATTGACACCGGCAGCGAGCTCAACATCATGACAAGCGAGCAAGCTTATGCTCTAGAACTCCCAGTCGACCCTACTGGCGCCATGTGGACTCTTCGCGGTGTATCCGGACACCAAGTCGCCTTAGAAGGTCTATGTAGAGACGTACCCGTTACCATCGGGGGAATTGAAGTTACCCATAACTTCTTTCTTACGCGAGATACCCTCCATGGAAAGGATATGATACTAGGTCAACCGTGGCTCTTCGGCCACTCTACTAGAATCGAGTATATGCACGACGTAGGAATGGTAATTCAAGTTTGGAATGAGGGAAACCGAGATAGCGGAGCATCCGTCCGCATCAAACTTCCGATTATGAATGCCCCGCGAAATGTTTATCCTGTTCAAGCTCGTCGTTACGCGAGAGCTGCCGCCACCACATACGACATTAGTGCTGTGAGACCTGGGTCAGATCCCCAGACATCAGAGCCGCCACAATTCCCGAGCTGCATTCCTTTGACATTCACCACGCCACAGACAGAACTTAAAGAGCTAAGGCCTGACGGCCTCGATCATGTACTAGTGGACCGTAACATGGAAGATCTAGAAGTCCTTAGAGCGCTTAAGAATGCTTGGATACCTTCCAAGATACCCCATGGTCTGGGATTCACGGATTATACTGAACGGGTCAGCCTACTCAAGGGACCGGGCTTGAACTCAGCTAAGGAGACATCGACTGAGATGGAATGCTTTCCATTCCCCATGCGCGATTCTGGTCTCGTATACGCCTCAAATTGCCCTGAGCCGGCAACCCGAGTGACATCCTTGACAGCACTGCCGGAGCAAAAGCTTAAAGAGCCAAGGCCTGACGGCCTTGACTATGTTCTAGAAGGACGGGAAGCAGCCCATGCTGAGGATTCAAGAGCTGCTGCAGGTCCCTTGGCTTTGTCTGGTCCGAATTCCGCGGGAATTGTCGAGCACGTCGATACCGCTAAGGGAATGGCTGCAGCACAAGATTTCGCGTGCATGCATCATGAGCCCGTTGTCGCAGAGTTATTGCCTGTAACCGCTCAGAACTCAGAGACTGGATGCACCGTTGTCAAGCCTGAATCAACGGAGGCAGAAATGATAGCTCGCATCGCACCGAAGTCCTTCACTGGACTTGAAATTTGTTTTCTTGCTAACTTCTTGACTGCACAAGAGAAGCCCGTTGTCCACGCCAAAGTCACTGAAGTCGCACACCCGCCAGAAAGCTGTGAACGCTCCAGCGGGAGCCATGAGGATTACTTATGCCGATCCCAAGAGCTTAGCCCCAACAGTTATGACAACCGGGTTGAGAATCCAGATCTGGAGTTCCCTCCAAGCCAGCCGCGATGGTTAGGACCGCATATGGTAGACAAGAGACTTCGCAGCGGCGCCCTTGTGTTGCAAGAATTAGATGGCGAAGAGTCAATAATCCGAGAACCCGTTAAGTTTTCCGAAGGTTATGAGGAACCAGACAACGAGGCAAATTATGCGTCCTACGCCACTAAGCCTAGACACCTGACTCCGCCCAAGCCCTGGGAGCTCAAGGACGAGAAGCTAGCTGAGTATTGGCAGGAGAAATACGAGCGCATGCACGCCAGAGCCGAGAATCCAGACCTGAGGTTCCATCCAAGCCAACACGAACGTGAACTCCGGAAGTTCATCGATGAGGACACACGATTTCGGAATTCCCACCATGCCACTCAGCTTAAGGAAGACGGTGACCTGAAGAGTTTCCCCCCTGGTCCCCCTGACCTGTTTTGTTGGCTATCCTGGGGCGGGAAGGGCTCTTATATTCTTCAAAATTCTTATTCTACGCGAAGTGATCCTGAGCATAAGTTAGAAGTCAAGTTATTATTGGGCGGGCCGACTATTGAGGTTATACACTCGGACAAAAGCCCCATGCTCGTTGCCGCTCCCGCCACTGAGACCAGCGGCCCAACTAATGACAAAACCCCCTTGAAAATAACGCAATGCGAGATCAGCCGCTACCCCCTGCCTCCCTTCGAGTGCTCCATGGGCTACGGCAACCCTAATGCGCCACACACACATCGCCGTAGGAGTCGAGGACGCTATCGACGCCGCCCACCCGAGAAAGACCCAGACAAGGTCTCAGGCACGAATCAGAGTGCGGGGGCCCGAGTACGCAAGTCCGAATTGACTCAAGTGGTTGATTACATGTCAGCCACCGAGTTCCAGGTTGACCCACACCCGCTAGAAATGCTAGAGCGCTCTCCCATCGTTCAAGGAGACACTGTAGTCGTCAGAGAGACCACAGACATGGCATCCGAGTTAAGCAAGCGAGACGTCGAGTTTAAAGAGCTTAGGCCTCACGGCCTCGATCCAAGCGCGATTATGGACTATGTTGAATACATGGTGGCTTTGAAGGTCGGAGACGCGAGTGCTGACCACGCATTGGAGTTTTTCCGCCAGTCAGAGGATCCTCATCCAGGAAGACCGAACATGTATATTGTGATTCCGCAGGTACGAGAGCATGAGGTCAAAGAGCTGAGGCCGGGAGGCCTCAGCGACGAGCTCATTAGCGAAGTTCCAGATGAGGGAGCTGTTGAGGCCACGCGAGTTCCGGCCTTGGATCGTGAGATTACCGTGAACGACAAGCGTCCAACTCGAACCAGGGAGTCCGGGGTCGAGTCGGGAGTCGTTTGCATGTCGAGTGCGGAGTTTTGTGCCGAAGTGAGTGAAATCAGTGACGGCCCACACGAGTCAGCGATGGGAGTGAAAACAAGACATACTGTTGTTCCTAATCCTCCTATACGACCGTTGGTTCTCCAAGAGGTGACAGATGCCTCCGAAAGCAGAGATCGAGGTGATGCGAAGTTGCTGGATGTCGGATTTGGACTCGGAGACTTGGCGAGCGCGACCATACCTGCGCCTATAAATTCAGCTGGCGAGGCAATGATGCCAGATGAAGTCCAGGATAGTCAAAACAGATCGGATCGAGACATCAGCAGCCAAGTTGGCGCCCTGGGACAGGTTTTGTGGCCTGGAATGGTTGACAAAGATCGCAGGCGTGTTTTAGACAAGATGCCATCAGCGAGCCGAGAGGTCACAGATAAAGAGTCCAGGCCTCCCTATCGCTCGAGCGCATGTATGAGCCACTCCAAGCCTCGGCTGGGCTTAGAACCGAAGTGTCGGTGCCACACGTCCGAAGTGCTGAGACTTACTTCATCAGCGCTGCTGGATGAGCTTCATATCGCGGCTATTGATGTAGGCAAACATGCGTCCAGAGTGTGGAGGAAGAAGCCTCCCTGACGATGTTAGGTTGATGCAAATTCGGCCCCAATCACGCATACCATCGAGTTCTTTATTCATGCAATATCCGTTATTTATTCTCATCAAAGTCCCCAGGATTTGTGGATTGAGCACGATGCCGCTGGTTTCATTTAGGATATCGTGAGGGACCACGATTAAGAGCTAGGCCTGTATGTCACGGGGATTTGCCGGTGTACCATAAACGAGCCAAATCCCGCGATTCTACTACCCTCAGCAAGCACCTCACATCCATCACATGTAGCCCATATCCACTCACACTCCTTACACATATTTCCTATATTTCCTAATTTTTCTGATTTCATTTCCGGTGTCTAGAGCCCGATGTTTCCGTTTTCTTATTGTCATGTGATACTCTTTCCCTATTTATCTATCGGACTCTTCCGGGACCCGCTGTACAGTTTGGTAGAGAGTTATGAGCACCACAATCTAGAGGACCAATACCCCACTTCAGACCTGACTTGTAGTGAGATTTCTATTCCCCCTCCTTCCTGTTGCGAGTCTAGTTGGATAGACCCGTTACACCGCTTCAAAGCGGAATGCGGAATCTACTTCCATGTCCGTGCCACAGAGTTCCCCGACACCCTATCCCAAATCCTTTTCGTCCTGTCATACATGAAAGGAGGAGCTGCAGGAGCATGGGCAACACAGCGCACGATTGCGCTGCTGACAGTGGGATCCCCCGCGATCACTATGGACGAGTTCATGGCAGAGCTAGACGCCATGTTTCAAGACCCCAACCAGGAAGCCACTGCCAGGCAGAAGCTTGCCACTTTATGGCAAGGCACCGACTCCATGGATAAAATCATCCAAGAGTTCGAAATCCACGGTCCCGCTTCACGGCTAGGTGATGTAGGGTTGGTAGACCACTTCAAACAAGCGATCAACGCCTGGCTCCGTGAGAGCATCTACCGTCTGCGCCCCATGCCAAGGACCTGGGCAGAATGGAAACAAGAGGCCACCCTCCTCGACAACCAATGGCGGCGCTTCCAGGCAACTCAACCCCGACTCCCCCTGTTCAAGTCGCCCCTCCCCCCTGCCAGACCGTCGCCGTCACTCTCTCAGACCCCCCTGCGCCTGCCACCGGGGCCACCGCTGCGACCTGCCGCGACCCCTACTACCCCCACGACTACAACCCCGCTACCTCAGCCGATGGACCTCGACCGCTCAAGGGCAGACCAACGACGAGGGCTATGCCACAATTGCAATGCCCCCGGGCACTTTGCACGAGACTGCCCCCTCCCGAAGGTCCACCGAGTACGCCGCATGCACCTGGAAGACCTCTGAGTACTCGCAGAAGGGCTGAGGAGCCAGCTGATGGGGACACCCGAGGGGAACGAGGAGGAGAGGGAGGAAGGGAACCCCTCTGCAGATTTTCAAGAAGGCGACCAGTGAAGGATGCGTCCCGGCTGCCTGCAAGCAACGATACCCAGTGTAAATACAGAAATATGCGTGAGTCTGCGCTGCTGTCCAAATTCCACCGGGTGATTGCTAAGAAACAGAGGAAAATCGCACCCTCGACCAGAAAGAGCACCAAAACCGCTAGCCTACCCTCTGAGGTGGCCGTCTCCCCACCTGCCATCTATGTGCTTGCCAAGCAATCCCCCTGCTCCCTCAATATGAAAGTGAAGGTGACTGCCCTACCGTCCCTCACTGCAGTCGCCATGTCGGCACTGCTAGACTCCGGCGCGACCAGGAACTTTGTGAACCCAGACTTCATCTGGAAGCACGGGCTCGAGACGACCCCGCTCCCCCAACCCATCCCAGTTCGCAACGTGGACGGGATGCCTAACAAGAACGGAGCCATCACAGAGGAACTAGAGGCCTTGTTGACATTCGGCCAACATTCGGAGCGTGCCCACTTCACCGTAGCGAACTTAGGGCAGCAGTCCCTCATCATTGGGCACTCATGGCTGTTACACCACAACCCAGAGGTCGACTGGGCACAGCAGAAGGTCATCATGTCCTGCTGCCCCTCCTCCTGCCAATCGCCGTGAGTGGATGTCAGGCAAGCTCTCAAGTAGAGCCCGGTGATGGAATCTACGCCACCATAATCCCACCAGGGTGGGGACACGACCTAAGGGCAACCACAACACTGTCCCAACACCTGTTGGAGGAAGCCCAAGACACAGAGGCGAAGCCGCTGACGCTGGAAGAGCTAGTACCCGAGCATTACAGGGACTTCCAAGATGTGTTCTCAAAAGAAGCCTTCGATGTCCTGCCCCCACAAAAGCCCTGGGACCACACCATTGACCTGACCCCCGATGCCAAGCTACCCAGAGGCAAGACGTTCCCCCTATTTTGGCCAGAGCAGAAGGAAACTAGATGAGTTCCTGCACGAGAACCTGCGGAACGGGTGCATACGCCCATCAAAGTCGCCGATGGGTGCCCCCGTATTCTTCGTCAAGAAGAAGGACGGGTCTCTGCACCTGGTTCAGGACTACCAAAAACTCAACGAGATAACGGTCAAGAACTCATACCCCCTCCCACTCATTTCCGACGTCCTTGCGTGCCTTCGCAATGCAAAGTATTTCTTGGTGCTGGATTTGCGCTGGGGGTTTAACAACGTGCGGATCAAAGATGGCGATGAGTGGAAGGCGGCGTTCGCGACCAACTGAGGCCTGTTTGAGCCCATGGTAATGTTCTTCGGACTGTGCAACTCCCCAGCAACCTTCCAAACCATGATGAACGACATTCTTTGGGATTTCATTGACCGAGAAGTCGTCATCTGTTACATGGACGACATCTTGATCTTCATGTCCACCCTAGAGGAACATCGGAAGGTCGTGCAGGAAGTGCTGGGAACGCTGCGGAGGAGGAAACTCTTCCTCAAACCAGAGAAGTGCAAGTTCGAGCGACGCCACATCAAGTACCTCGGACTTGTCATCTCTGAAGGCAACGTGGCCATGGACCCAGTGAAAATCCAAGGAGTCCTCGACTGGCCGACGCTGATGAAGGTGAAAGAAGTGCAGTCCTTAGGCTTCATAAACTTCTACCGCCGCTTCATCAAAGACTTCTCCAAGACAGCGCGCCCACTCCATGTGCTAACCTGCAAAGCAAAGGTCTGGGAATGGGGAGAGAGCGAAGAAAACGCCTTCAACGCTCTTAAGAAAGCCGTCACCTCTGCCCCCATCCTCGCCTTCCCTGCTGACAGCGGCCGCTACAAACTCGAATGCGACGCCTCCAACTTTGCCACCGGCACCGTCCTGTCCCAGCTCCAAGCCGACAGCGAATTCCACCCTGTAGCCTTCATGTCCAAAAGCTTCACTGAGGTAGAACGAAACTATGAAATCTACGATAAGGAAATGCTCGCGATAGTCCGAGCGCTAGAAGAGTGGCGTCACTTCGTAGAAGGAGTGGAAGAAAAGGTCAATATCTACACTGACCACTGTAACTTGGGCTATTTCCACACTGCACAGCGGCTGAATCGCCGCCAAGCACGGTGGTCACTCTTCCTATCCCGCTTCCACTTCACCCTCATCCACTGCCCAGGAAAGCTCATGGGGAAACCGGATGCCCTCTCATGCCGTGCTGACCACCTGAAAGGGAAAGACGACAACGAGAGCTTGACCCTCTTACAGCCAGAGTGGTTCGAAGCCCGTGCGACGGAGGCCATCACAGTGGAGGGAGAAGAGATGACCATCCTGGAGAGAATATGCGCGGCGAAGAACCGCAATGAGAAAGTGGTGAAGGCACTGAAGGAACTAGGAGATGGGACACTCAGGTCAGATGAATGGAGCAAAGACGGAGAACTGGTCCTCTACCGAGGAAAGGTGTATGTCCCGAAAGACATGCAACTCCGCCACGACCTGGTGCGGCTACACCATAACGCGCAGGCGACGGGACACCCAGGGCAATGGAAAACCCTGGAACTCGCCTCCCGCGACTACTGGTGGCCCTGGATGGCGGAGTACATAGGCCGCTACGTAGCGGGGTGCAACGCCTGCAACCGAGTCAAATCGTTCCCTTCACGGAAGGTGGGGAAACTCATGCCAAACAAGATCCCCACCCGCCGCTGGCAGGTAATCTCTGTAGATATGATCGGGGAGCTCCCCGAGTCGAAAGGTTACAATGCCATCCTGGTTGTAGTAGATCGCCTCTCCAAGCGCATCCATGCAATCCCCACAGTCACGACGGTGGACTCGGTGGGAATCACCCGACTTTTCCTTGGACATGTCTGGAAGCATCATGGCCTCCCCAAGGAAATTCTCAGTGACAGAGGGAGTGCCTTTGTCTCCCAGTTCTCCAAAGAACTGGCAGCCCTGCTAGCGGTCAAATTGACCCCCTCGATGCCCTACCACCCACAGACAGACAGGCAGACAGAGCAGGTAAACCAAGAGATAGAAGCATACCTCCGAGTGTTTGTTAACCACCATCAAGACGACTGGGCAGATTGGCTCCCGCTAGCGGAGTTCTCCCATAACAACCACATCCACGCATCCACCCGCTGCACCCCCTTCGAGCTCGACACCGGCCAGCACCCCAGAATGGGGACAGAACCTACACACACGTCAGAAGTCGAAGCTGCAGATGCGTTCACCTCAAGGATGATGAAAATGCAAGAGGAGGCGAAAGCGGCGCTCAAGCATGCAGCAAAGGAGATGGCCCGCTACTATGACCGGAATCAGGAAGCGGCGCCTGAGTACAAAGAGGGTGACCAAGTCTGGCTCAGCACCCAAAACTACACCACAGACCGCCCAACCAAGAAGCTGGACCACAAATGGACAGGCCCCTTTAAAATTCTTAAGGTCGTATCCCCCGCTGCTGTCAAGCTCCAACTTACAGCATGGCAAAAGGGAGTCCACCCAGTGGTGTCAGTGTCAGGGTCCGGCCCTCGTTCCGTGACGGGCCCAAGGGGATCCTCCGAGTCACTGGGGTATCTAGTCCCAGTCCGAGGTCTTCAAACTCACTGAGGGGGCTAGCCCCAGCCTTCACAGGAAATGAGTTGAGAAGAAGGGTAACCTTCTCAACCTCCTGTGAAGCCGCTACAAATGGGAGCCGGGAACTATACAGTTTTCGGCTCTTTGCCGACTTTCCATAATTGGCACCCCCCGTGGGAAGATTCTGGGCAAGCTGCTCGCCCAGAAAGTTCCCACGGTTGTGGCTGTGATGGTTTCTGGGCGAGTAACTCGCCCAGAACGTTCCCACGGTCTGCATGCATGCGGGATTGTGGAACAGTGAAGGGAAAAATAGGGGAAAATGGGGGAAGGGTACCTGAGGGTGTGTGGGGTCAGGGGCTGTGCCCTGACAGTCAGTGACGAATATCCGACCCCACCACCCAGACGAAATCACCGAACGACCCACCAACCCTTGCCCAGGCCCCGAAATCATAGACAGGGGGGAAGAGTACGAAGTTGAGAAGGTCCTCGACTCCCGCTGGCGCCACAGGAAGCTCTGGTATTTGGTAAAGTTCACAGGCTGGCCAAACTCCGAAAATGAATGGCTCCCCCTCGACAACCTGGCCAATGCGCGCGACCGAATCAAGGAGTTCTACAGAGCACACCCAGACGCCCCTGGAAGAGAACGAGGGAACCCCCTAGCCACTTCGAGGCAAAGTGGCTTAAGGGGGGGGTGATGTCAGGGCACGCTGCCGCCACCTCCTTTCCTTTCGTCTCATCCTCTTTTTCTCTCTTCTTTCCCTCTTCTCTTTTTCTATCTTTATACGGACGACCTCTCTCTTTCTTTCCTACACTTGTAGCACGGACACGCCCGATGCTGAGCACCCCATAGGGGCACCGCCATGCTGGGCGCGCCGCACACTCCTACTTGTACTTCCCCTCCAACACTCGGGATCGACTGCAGAGCCACCCGTGGTAACCCGGCTTCGTCCGAAGGTGACGTGGCACTTCCATGTGACCCGTTCACACATGTATATAAACTAAGCTGAAGCAGGACCAAAGAAGTAATCTTCTTCTCATTTCCCACTTCAGGCAAGTACCCTAGTTTAGTCTAGCTTCCCACCCTAATAACAATACATTTCCCGCTTCAGCCTAAGAAGCCACACAGGGATGTAAGCCCAAGTGAAGGCTGCTCACTATACGGTCTTACCGCCCCGCCGCCATCTGGGCCGCTAGCGCCAAGCGCTACGCCGCTACCTCTGCCTCCCTTGAGCCGTCCCTGACAGTAGCACCCCAGGACCAAAACCCGGCCCCACGAACCACACCCGCACACACTACCACCCTCCCCCTTCTCTCTGTCTCGAGTCTAGGCAAATAGACCCGTTACAACGCATCCCTGACAAGTCTTCATGAGGCTTGAGGCACCAAACACCTCGCTGGTAGATTTATCAGGGTTTGTAAACACCCCAAGATGTTGAAGAAAGGTTCTGCACCTATTTCAGCCAATGCGGGCTAGGAGACAAATTGCTCATACCTCTGTTTAATGGCATCGGGTTGATATGGGCTGGAAGGATATGAGTAAGTTATTTGTGCCTTTCCTGCATAAACCTTGTACCTGAATGCCTTTATCCTGTTGTAGAAGTTCCTCATGGCTAAGGCACTATCCTCTGTGAGGGGTAGGCCCATAGCTTTGACCATTTCCACAATCATTGGTGAGCTCGTAAATGCGATAGTTGAATCCCAAGGGGCAAGCTTGTCATCTGCTATGAACCCCACTAACACCACCCCAACAGGATGAATGGAGCTGAGTGCAGCGAGCTATCAGCAAATTTTTCAGTACAATCGATTGCGATAGTTACTGGATTCTGTACTATACCTGAGCAGCGTATTTTCCCGTTATTTTCTGCAACAGATAAAGGCCTTCATTTGGTTGAGCCTCCCTCTCGTCCTTCAATCAAACAAGGTCCCCACAATGTATCAGAATTTTATCATAGAACGCTTTTGCTTCTTCTGCCTGGTCAGGTGTCACGACCCAGCAATTCCCACGGTCAGGTGATCACTCCCCGCACCTTCTCCCTCCTCCGCTTCCACCCCATCAACTCCACTACCTGCCCGACGCCACCTGAACAAGCCCGTTACCCTTCCCCGTCACTGCTACCTGTTCCACAGCCCATCACGGGCCTATGAGTCATTCCTTATCATGCTTGTTTTTCTTGATGGCCGTGCACAGCCGTCCTTCTCCCACACTCTTTGTTTGTTTTCATTCCTTCTTAAGCCCACCTGCAATCTCTGTGAGATCTGGTGAATTATTTCTATTCATTCTGTTACACTTAAATACCGGTTGTATACTACCTCATACTTTAGTTCGAAAATCAACTAGGGTTACCCCCTGCACTCTCTGTCTGACTCAGTTGCATCCTCTGCCCTCTGAAATATCGGGGCCACATCAAGTACAAAGTGCAATGCTCACGAATGAGTCATTGAAGCCGAAACCCCGTTTCACTGCAATTGTCATCCCCACCCTTAACGGGCTGTTACACCGGAGCAGCGGACCCTAACGGTCACCAACGGCGAGTCATGGTAACGTTTTCCCATGCCCTGACATCAGGGTACTTCCTATCGATATCCTGTTGCTGTAATTTACGCAGGCATGCTGCTTCTTGACTGTCAATTCCAGCTAGGAAATGATTAGTTCCTAATATCTTTCAAGTATGTGGTTAACTTATGGTGAAGCTTAAGCCATGTTTGCCAAGCCGTTTGGCCTGCTTCAGTGGGATTGTGTAAACGGAACCTCTTCATGACTTCTTGGGGGGACTTCCCCTTTTTCTGTGCGTAGCCAGCAATGCAAGCTTCTAAAAAAACTGCAGGGGGTCTTTGAGTATTTCTAAATGGTGTAAGCAACAGAGACACCAATGCACCTTCGAGGCTCAAATCATCTGTAACGAGTCCCTTCTCTAGTATATTGCCAATATCTCCAACTGTCTCAATAGATGAATGACCCCATATTTTCTGCACAATTCCCTTCACAATTTGATCAGGGGGACAAGTGGTTGGAATTGTGGCCTGTCTTCAATGGAAGCACGTTGTGCAATAATGTCAGAGACCGGATCGAGACGAAAGAATTGTCTCCATGGCAGAGGGCTTCGGCCTCAGTGACTCAAGCCAGGAGTGCTGTGCCAAGTTACACGTCCATGCCCTAATTTACTTACTGGCAATGAGAACTAAAGGGGGATCAACTCTAGTCAATTTTATCACTGAAGTGTAACCTATGTACAAGTTAAGTATATATAGTTACAGCAAGGGCGGGCCCATGAATGGCGGGACCGAGCAGAGTGGAGCTAACGGAGTTAAACATTAGCCAATTGAATATTACCGACAAGTCAGGTTACGGGGTTAGCGGAATGGCAGGCAATAACCCAGAAATGGAAAGGAGGGATAGGCCTGAAGGTGGACTTGCAGGGCAAGCAAGTGAATTGCCCAGCAGAGGCAGGAGTGCACTAGCGGATGTCAGAGCTGTCCGGAAGCCTTTGGGGCTCCATACTTAGGGAGGCGTAGGTAATATATTGAAAAGAGGGGGTGGTGACCATCGAGGGAGGCAGAGGTGATTGCGGAATATGGGAGCTCCAAGGTTAGTGAAGAAGGAGCGGAGGTAGTCCGGAGGGGCCAGAGGTAATGAAGGATGATGGCCATGGATGGATATGACAAATAAGCTCTTTCAACTCTGCAAATGGGCCATCTGTAGCTCTGAGGAAGTTGTTGGCAGTGGAAGCCGTAGTCAACAAGGTCATGCCACTGGAGAAAGTGGCCTGAAGGGTCAGAATTGATGAGTCAAATGCATTTGAAGATGCGTTCTGCAGGAGGGAAGGCAATCTGGGGTGATTTCTTGTTCTACCAGTGATTTCTGGCCTGGGGGGAACGGAAAATTTTCCTCAAATTTGCATCCAAACTATCAATTTTGATCTAGCAACAAGCCTGAAGAGAGGAATTTGTATCTACGCCATTTCACCAGCCTTTACCCTGTTTGACCCATCCTCTACATTGCAACCTTGTATCAGGTAGCAGACACAGAATTCAAACAGAAAATTGGACATTCTGACCCTTTCCTCAATGCTGCACATCTACACCCATCTGCAACCAACTACAGGCCGATTTCCCCTTTAGCACCCCGTTTGACTTGTTTGCCAGTCCAACACAGTGTGCAAGAGCTCTAAGTGGCGCTCCGGAACATCGGGCAGGCCGCAATCGGAGCCGCTATTTGTATTGTAAGTACAGTCAGGGTTTCAATGTAAATAATCAGCATGTGAACGAAATGTCCCTGGATCTGAATCATGTGTGTCCACAGAGACAGTGGGGCCCAGGCCGCATCCCTCAATAACCCAAATGGTGTAATCTGTGCAAGGTCTACAGAGGTCAGGTGTAGTGGGTGGTGGCAGTGCCACCCCCATTTGACCACATTCATACCCCATCACTCCTATATCATGTGACCATATGCATTCCCCCCAAACGGGACATAGCCACCTGGCCTGAGGATTGAGGAGTCACTGAGGCCGGCACCCCAACCGGCCTTACACTTTTTTAGACTGATTGGTAGTCTGGGACCCGACTGACCCTACTGAATAGAGGTCAGAATGTGGCCAGATATGGAAATGCCGCATAAGGGAATACTGAATAGCGTCTGTGATGTGATTCAAATATTGTGTATTGTACATGTAATTATGATGACCAATGCCGGAGTCCAGTTTGCAGAGGGTTGTGCAACAAGTCATTTAGTGTAAACCCATGTGGTCGTTGCACCCAACCCAACCCTGGGAGCTTGAGGAAGCACAGTCAAGGTCATGGAGTCAATACCTGGGCATGCAGAACAATTAATGGTTTAAATATTAGTTGTAACTGTGACTGTTGTTGGTGTGCTGTAGTGTAGATGTTATAGCGTGAGTTGAGGCTATGCAGTCTTTTGGCTGCATGTGTTCGATTCCCACTTGTTGCCACCTTTTTCTGGCATTCTCTGTGCTCAGGTATCGACTCTGCAGCTTTCACTCTGTGCTTCCTCAGTGCTGGGCATGCGATTATTGCATGGGAGAATGCTAAAAAAAAGTTGCAACAAGCGAGAATTGAACACATGCAGCCAAAAAGACTGCATAGCCTCAACTCACACTATAACATCTACACTACAGCACACCAACAACAGTCACAGTTACAACTAATATTTAAACCATTAATTGTTCCGCATGCCCAGGTATTGACTCCACGACCTTGACTGTGCTTCCTCAAGCTCCCAGGGTTGGGTTGGGTGCAACGACTGCATGGGTTAACACTAAATGACTTGTTGCGTGACCCTCTGCAAACTGGACTCCGGCATTGGTCATCATAATTACATGTACAATACACAATATTTGAATCACATCACAGACGCTATTCAGTATTCCCTTATGTGGCATTTCCATATCTGGCCACATTCTGACCTCTATTCAGTAGGGTCAGTCGGGTCCCAGCCTCTACTTTAGTAGAGGCTGGGATCCTGCCTAACTGATTGGGCTAGTTTCACATGCCCAACCGACGTGCATGTGCACCTGACGTGCACTGCTGCACTCCCGACTCGCTTCTCTCTCACAATTTGCACTCTCATGGCACCTCTGGCTTACATCCAAGTTCTCTAAGTCGACCTCGCATGCTTAACGCATCTACATGTGGTTTTAATGCCAATTCACGCACTTTCCTGGGGGGACACACACGAAATTCCCGTGTGCACTTAGATATTCGTGCTCACGCATCTCTGGTCTTTCCTCAACATGTAACTCACACATTGATGACATTTCAGACTCATGTTAGTGTCATCTAGGCTGTACCAACTACATGAAATGCAACTCAGACAAACACAACTCAGAAAACCATTGTTGTATCAGCTCGACAGTTGCAATCTCCCTCAGGACGATCCTCTCTCTAGTCCTTGCGGACTACTGGGACTTGCCTGGACACGCTGAAATCAAAGAAGTGTTGTATCTACATGTGATGGATGATTACTTGCGGTCTCAACCTGCAACTGTCGCAGATGATCACCCTCGCTGGTCAATCTCTGCTGACAAACCTGTCAAACCCATCATCTCGTGTCCTGGAGACGTCCTTGCCACATCAATTCATCGATCGTGTGGCCTCCACTTTCCATCCATCAACCTGAACCAACTCGCTGAGTGCTGATGCCAACGCATCACCAGCTACGGTTCATCCACACTTCCTATTTCCTGCCAGCCACATCGATCCCCATTCCCAGCACCAGCCACACAATTCTGCGACTCTGGCGACCCCTTCGAGTCCTTTGAGTCCGGCCATCTCACCGTCTGCAACTCTGACTTCAACGACCCCAATTCGTCATTGTCATTGTCAAGGTCAGACTAAGTGCTGTCCGATTCTGCATCGTCCAATGTTGACGCAATGCTGCCAACCGTGACAAATCTCTGCTGTGCTGCCATCTATGATGTTGATGTCACTTTTCCCCCCAGCTGCAACGCATCTGCTCCATTCCGCATTGTCACTCTTGCTGTCGACGCGCTGAAGGAGAGAACGAAGGAAGATCAGTTGGGAGGTTCAAACGAGACCACCACCAAGCTGTTCCCTGGTTCTTTAGTTAGGATGGGGAAGTGTACTAGTATTATTTGTTGTAAATATAGTACCAATCCGAGTGTTTTGGCTAATTCTATTTTTATGGGTTAGTCTAAAGTTTCTGGGAATTGACTTACAGATAAACCGAGCCCTGCGGAGCTGTTATTTTATTGAAATTTCTTAATTTGTCTAGGTGTAATTCTGTGTAGCATGGTTTAATTTGGAATTTAACTTGAATTAAATTTTTTACTTGGTGAAGTTTCAAAGATTCTACTCAGTTAATGGATTTGGATTGTGTCTGGAGTGTCCCTTGAGTTTGTTTTATTTTTGTCTTATTTTATTGCTTGTTTTAACAGTAGCAAAATAACTATTTTGTGTTTACACTTTGAAATCTGGTGTTAACCAGCTCTCCTGTTGAAATATCTACTTAATATTTCTCTCCCTAATTGTTGCCTTTTACTACAGTGGCAATCTTAACTGTATATCACTTTTTCGCACT